GACAATTGTAATTTTTTTTTTCATATAAGAAATGTTACTTATGATTTTGTTTTCAGTATTTGGTTTATACAAATTTATGTTAGTTCGATTTTATTGGAAGCTATAAGTTTATTGAAACACTCTCGAATCTGTTCCTGGAACCAACCAGTACTAAGAAATTAATGTAAAGTCTCTTGCTCAAGGAAACAACGGCCTGCCCCTGACAGGGTTTGAACCCAGGCGTTCAGCAATCCTTGGATTACTAGTCCGACGTGTTAATCACTTGGCCACGCCGCCAATTTTCAGTAGTTACCTCAGTATGTGTTGAAAATTCCGTGACGAAACGTTCTCAATTTTTTTTTTCATATTTCGTTTTGATTAAGCTTTAATTGTTAAAGCATTGCTAACACTTCTATTATAGTATCGAAAACTTAGACATACAATATGCAAGTTGACCATTATACTTCGGTCGAGATTTATTTTTAAGATACTTCCTCTTTCTTAGTGACGATTATTTATTAAGGAACCAGTATCTAGTGGATGACATCATCAGTTATTTGAATAAGTTGATAGGACAAACTAAATAACTTGTGTTTTTACAAGGAATATGTGAATATAATTTTACTAAGGATTAAACTAAGCATTTTGTTTTTAGGGATGTTAATTCCGCATAGAGACATTTGCAGTTTGATAAATTAAATAGTTTTTTCCGATCTAGAAAATATCATGGAAATCATGATCCATGGCAAGCATTAAATACAGCAAAATCGCATGAAAATTGCAAGCACGGAAAACGAACTGATTGAGTCTGTACATGAGGGATAATGAAAAGTGCAATATCATTTTTACAAAGTCGCAAAAGCAGCACGGGTATGTGATAATTTTTTTAATATTCATCCACTTGACGACACAAGTATTTTTCTGCAGGTATTAGTAAGTTATTGTTAGTTATTAAATTGAATGTGCACATCATTTTGTGTGTATGATAATTCTTATTCTAACACGACCCGCATTTTTCCCTATTGAACATAGAAGAGCGGAAGTGTGTGTTATAATGCTATAAAGTCACTGTTTGACGTTCTATATTTACACATGTGACGTAATCATTATACACATGACGTAGCCACTGAAATGTGATGCGTAGACAATAAGTACGGACACAAATCAGGCGCAATTTGGCTTAATATCAGGTACGGCAGCATTTTTTTGTTGATATCGTGTTAGAATCGAAATAATATATCCAAATCGGTGATTTTATTGCTTGATAACATCACTGTTTGTCATTCGGATGCGCATCATTATATCACTCGGGCTACGCCCTCGTGATATACTTCCCCGCATCAAAACTCCAAACAGTGATGTTATTGAGCAATAAAATCACATTTTGGGATATATTAGTTCTTAATAAAATTTCTGTTGAAAATATATTTCTATTGTTTTGAAACCTTGAGCAATTGAGACAAGGAAGGAACTATTTTTATATCATTCGGTCCTTTTCCTATTGTTATTATTTTAATGTCGTCCTAGGATACCATTTCCTTGAGACGATGAATTTCATGACCTGAGAGTTGAAAACTTGTAGAAACAGTTTATTTTTGTCTAGTTCACTGGCGCACAAATTGTTCAATATGAGCTTTTGTGATCACAAGTTGTCCCCGGCCTATAGTCCTTCAGTGCATCTGTCGTCATCTTTTTTTAAGCGACTTCTCATTTCTCCACTAGGTCGAATTTGTTAAAAATGTTCTAAGATGGTTCTAGAATTAAGCACTGTAGAGAAATATAAATGTCCATAGCATAGATATATAGCATACACCATAACATTCTGTTCATCTGAAAACTATATAAATCATGGCCCAGGGGATCAAAATTGTGCTCGCTATCTTTTAACTTGGTTTATAATAACTTGGATAGAGACATATATGTAAGTCTTCTAATTAAAAAATTAGGCATGTAGCATTTCCTAGCAAATTACTACAAATATTTCTGAAATAATGAATGCAGTTGGGGTATATAATGTTACACCAAATGTGAAATAATTACTTGCTCTGGCATTTAAGAATTGTGATCTTTGCTAGAAATGTATTTCATGTGAGCTATCTAGGGCCATCATGGCACTCTTTTATTCAGTATCCTTCATTTTCGTAGCCTTTATATTTGTTTCAAATTTTTGTATTAACCTTTTGTTATTTTGCATTAATGTATGAATTAATAACGTAATAGTTATTTATTTGCTTTTGTCTTTTGTCAAATTATTGATTACATTTGATTAAAAAGCTTCGTCATCATTGCTTATGAGCTATTTTGAATGTGTTGATACAGTGTCAATCGTATTTATCTCTATGTTAAATGCATTTTATTATTTATATTGCTTTTCCCATTATACCTTACATTAAATTAATAGGGTTCTATATAAAAAAAAAACTTGAGATCTAGTTTGTTTTGAATATTGCATCCACGCCTCATAAGTGAAGGTATAATTAGAAATTAATGGTGTATTAATATGCTGAACAGCATATGAAACAGCATAAAACAAATTTTAAACTATGTAATCTTATTTCTTCAGTAATTGGAACGCGTGGTTGTGTATATTTGTTAAGAAGTAGAAATCAAGATTTGGTACAACCAGTAAAGAAAGCAGTCGGGTATGTCTATTATTAATATTATTTAATTTATCTTTATTTATTTATTTATTTATTTTGCCTGAAATGCGATTGATTGGAAAAGAAAATGCTTTTGAATATATAATATTTTTGCGCGCATTATTTTAAGACGAATTCCTATTGTTTACACATAAAGATTTTATTTCAATTGTTATGATAGCTTACTTATACTATTCTCGGGTAAAGATGCGACTATTAGATGCTGTTTCACGTACGAGGTCACCTTACGATCCTTGGCCACTAGGCCACCGTTTCATGTTTCTCGTTTATAATGTACCTATGTTTGTTGTAAATAACTTTCTGTTCTCATGTTTTAAACAGATGTTTCCGATTCACCACATTTAAATATTTTGTATTCTTCTACTGTGAAAAGTTATCAGAAATAAAAAATTTAAACATTCTGTTCTTCTGAGCATACCATTATCTCTTTATTATTGTTGATTTTTACAATTAAGTTTTTTTTTCAATTTATTTAATAAAAACATAAAAGAAGTGACACTTTACATGATTAAAAAATGAAGTGTTAACATGCTTAGATTAAATAAATGTAAAGTAGTTTTAAGTCTAGACTATTTGATAAAGGGACCATGTTGCTATGGTTTATATATGTCTGCTTTCAGAAGAAGTGATCGTGAGTTTATATAATTTTCAGTTGCCTGATTCGACAATCTGGCTTGAAGTTTAGATAATGTTTCATTCGATTGCCTTAAAGAGGTGCACCCCGTTGTAAACTTTAGTGTTGTTTTAATTTTTCTGATCCTTTCTGATTTCAATACTTTAAACTGGCGCGAGGGGTGTGAGGGGCGTTGCATCTTTTCAATATCCCTCCTGTACAGATTCAGTAAAACCTAGTCTGCTATTTTCATGTTATTTTGTTAACGTTGTTGCTTCCCAGGGATCACACTTTATCCAGATTTTTAAATAAATTATATAGTGGCATGGCTATCGGTTTAGGTGTCGATCTGATTATCTAAGTATCACTAGTCGCGTGTTCACAAACCCTGAAAGGGGCAAGCCGTTGTATCCTTCAACGAAATACTTTACACTTTTTGTTGGTACTGGTTGGTTCAAGATACGAATTCGAGGCCTCTCCTCACTACACGATCGAACTGAAATAAATTCTTTATTAGCTTAACTTAATTGGTCTATTACATGTACTTCAATAGCTACATTTCGGAGATTTCGAATTACTATTTTGTAAAAGCTGCATTTCATAAATACGTAGAAATAGTTTACCGTCGGTCTAAAACCAAGCACTTTACTGTTGTATTAACCTTTAAAGTTATGCTTACGCCAATGAAATTGAAAAAAGGTAAAAAGCATCCTTTATATAAAATTTATGTCTGATATATTGTAATCAAGGATGAAACATACAGTAAAGGAAAGTGTTACGTGTTATAAAATTATTATGTATGTAATTATTGTTCTTAAACAATTTCCAAACATCCAAGACTCTGTTAAATATGTACAGAAAATGTTTATTTATCATGCAACTACTATGGTAACTGCCCGATAACACTTGCCTGATAATTATTTTTGATATCAGGTCAGTAACCTGATATCAAAAATAAGCCCCGCCCACTTTAACGGACTTTTTTCAATTGCTTATATTCTCATTTTCATCAGCATGTGAATTCTACAATGTAATTTCATACCCTTACAAGTCTTGAATCAAGGTGCGATATTTATTTATTTATTATTTCGATTTCAATTACGAATAAATTAGATAGCGAATAGTTTAAGCACCAACTAAATGAAGTGACGTCATAATTTATATTGCAAATGACATCATCGATGTTCACGTCATACTATACATGTAATCATAACAAACAGGCTAGACGATTTTCTTTGAGAACTTGTAAATGTTTACTTTATTTCGCCGGATTATTATTTAATAAGTGAAGAAATTGTTTCGTTTAAAAAATAAAACGCATGGTTGCGTAGCTTGTGTTTGATTGCCGATTTGATTTCTTTGATTGAAATTATCGTGAACTTTTGAATTTGACAATTCAAGACAAAAATTGCAGTAAAGTTTAGTTTATGTGATTCTAAGTGGATTTTCGGATCGATGTTTAAATTAAAGGTAAGAATTTTATCGTATTAGGCCTACATTCTTTTGTATCTTTTATCCGAGTCGAAAGAAAAAATGGCCGCCATTTACAAATTCTAAGTTTCAGGGGCGGAGGAATTTGTTTTCAAGAATTATTTCTTTGAACAAAAATCCCCCTTTTTAACGAAATTCGCTATTTAAAAGTAGATTATTTTGTTATTTTGACAGTTATTTTGTGTTACATGATAAATGGCAAGCCTCGCCCTTTCTAGCCCATATCAGCCTCGCCTGATAAAATTGATATCAAAAGACAGTAGCATGTTATTCTCTATATACATTATAACTAAACGTTAATATGATTGCATTTATTTCTATTGAAAACAAAACCGTGATAACCTCCCTTTATTTACATGAAATATATGTACAAGTAATGCTTTTTGAAACTTACAATATTGATAAATCTTAATTTCAGCATCAGATTTATGATATAAAACTAAAAAAAAAATGCGTTATAGGATCTTTAATGTTGATATTATATATTTAGAATGACGTCGGTAAGGATAAAAGATCTTGGGGGTGCGACTATGCGTGCAATTGACGTTGGTGGATTTATTACATCCAATTTTATGGAAGAACTAGGAAAGGAGAAGCAAATCTTTGATAAAGTTCCTTATTTCAAATTCCGGAAAGATGATTTAATGTTGTGTACATATCCAAAAACAGGTATATTCATCCTTCAATAATGCGAACGAAGATCAAAAAGAGAAAAAAAAACAATCCTATCCATCCATCATTTTGAATACTAAGAACGAAAATAAACTATATTTTTACATTTATTTTTTAACAAAATGCGCTATTAGTGTTTGAATATTCTTAATTTGTTAAGTAACACATTCCTGCACTTTAAAGTACATTTTAGCTGCGTCACGACAAAACCAACGTAATGCGTTTGCGACCAGCACGGATCCAGACCAGCCTGCGCTACCGCGCAGTCTGATCAGATTCCATGCTGTACGCTATCAGTTTCTTTACTTGTTATAGGTTTTGTAACCGAACAGCATGGATCCTGATGAGACTGCGCGAATGCGCAGACTGGTCTGGATCCATGCTGGTTGCAAACACACTATGTTGGTTTTGTCGTGACGCGGCTCATTTAATTACTCGAATCATCATGATTATGTTCAATACAACGCATTATTTTATAGGCACAAACTGGATATATGAAATACTTATGATGATTTTAAAGAAGAGCACTGAACCAATAAAAGACTTCAAGGATGACCTAATGCTTGATTGCCAGTCGGCTGAATTAATTGATATACAACCGTCACCTAGAGTTGTAAACTGTCACCATCCTTGTCGGTATGTATTCACCTGGTTATACGTATGTCATTCATGCTTTTATCTCATTTTTATGCAAACAAAAGCTTTCCAATATGCCCTGATAAATCTTATTAATGGCCCTTATGAAAATTGCTGATAAGAATTCCAGAAAATGATATGCTTTGGATATACTTTAAAAAAAAATATATGTTTTATTTTTGTTACATTCCACGATATATTTTGAGATATCTTCTGAAAAGCACAAAGTAAATGAAATAAAAAGTTCAAATCTGCAGAGGGGTGTGATTTGACTTATCGGAATTTAGAATAAATCCGGACGTTTGTTTTTTTAAACCTTCGACTGCATTGTCATCAATATGATAAGAGCCGTTAGATATTTGTCTAGATAAACAAATAGAACAGGTGTTCTATATTATTTTAACTTTACATAGATTTTGTCAACCATTCATAATTGCAGTGCACTGTAGTTTCAATTTATAACGTTAACAATTCTTTAGTCACATATTATGGTGTTGATTATAGAACACCGCTTAAGCAGATGGTTTTGATAATGTGAAACGTTTCACCTTTCACCAGTGTTGACCTTTTCTCTGATATGTCGTTGCTCTCAAAGGATCTTCCCGCCTTCTTCCAAATTACAATTATCAATATTCTATTCGATCCTTCCAATATGAGTTATTAGACAATGTTTTCGGTTAGCTTAACATGTAATTCTGATATGGTAAGGTAACGGTTAATAGAAATACTTCACCCATCGTCGGTCAAATTTACCTTATATCCTGCTCAAATGTCTAGGAAAATTAGGTTTACACCATTTATTAGAAAATAAATTCAATGTGACTTTATCGCGTGCCCTGTAGGACACAAGCAAGTGCATTTTTGCCCGAGTCAGGTATGCTTTATGTCATCGAAGGGCGGCATATCAAAATCGCACCGTTCGCCGGTCTGTCCTTGCGCCCCAATTTACACAACATTCCTGTTCAGATACATTGAAGAATTTTTAAATGAAACACATGTAAACGGCATCATAATGATGCGTGTCGTGTAAGACCCATGTTCTTTCCTCAAAGGTCAAGGTCACACTTAAGGTTTGAAGGTTCACAATCTTACAATTAGAGGTAAAGGTACACACATTTGTGTAACTTTGTCATGCATTAAGGGATTTAATAAATGCTTACAACATCAAGACGACATGTCGCGTAAAAAACGCACGTCCCTACCCTCAAGGTTAAGGTCACACTTAAAGTTTATAGGTGCCCATTTTCACAAGAAGAGTTTGACAGTACACCTTTTTTATTCAGACCATCACGTTGTTATTCATTGTAGGATTTTAAAATAACTTGGCACGAATGTCTACCACAACAAGATGGTGTGTTGCGTGTCACTACCTTAAAGGTCAAGGTCATATTTAGAGGTTGACCGTAACACATTCGTGTCCGGACTGTTACGGTTAAAACGAAGGAGCTCATTTTCACAAGAAGAGTTTGAAAATACACCTTTTTGTTTGGACTTCACTTTGTAATGCATTGAAGGATTTTAAAATAACTTTGCACAAATGTCTACCACATCAAGATGGTGTTCAGTGTCTAAGACTCATGTCCTTACCTAAACGGTTGAGGTCACACTTACAGTTTGAAGGTTCACATTCTCACAATAAGGGATAAAAGATCCGGACTGTAACTATGTCATGCATTGAATGATATTAGAATGATTTAACTTTAATGTTTACCATATCAAAACGACGTGTCTCATTTAATACCCATGTCTGTATTCCAGGGTCAATGTCACACTTGTGGTTTGAAGGTACTTATTCTCGCAAGAAAGTTTGGAAGTATTTTTCGAACTATCACTTTGTAATTTATTAAAGGATTTTAAAATAATTAAGAATAAATGTCAAACATAATGAATCAGCAAGGTTATTGCAGTTACCTACCATTGAAGGACATGAAAGATAAGCAGATAAAGACGATACTGTGTTGTCGTAACCCAAAAGACACTGCTGTGTCCTACTATAACCATATGAAGGGGTTTAAATCGTACGAATATGATGGCAAATGGAAAGATTGGCTCCCCGTGTATCTGCAAGGAAAATGTAAGTAGTGTGAAAGTGGCATTACGACTTTTTAGGAATGTTTTATATGCAATAAGGCGAATATAAAATGTAGTTTGGGAAGTTTTACTTGTCACTTTGCACTTTGTAGATATACGCAGTTTCAATTTTCTTATTCGATCCTTTAAATCAAGTTTGATATGGAGGCACTGTCATATAACTGAACCAAATAGAAAAATCTTCGAATTGATAGTGAGAATGTGAACCTTTTTTGTTTACCGTTTGGTCTATATGACGTCACATTGGGAAAGGTCAGGTAAACGCAATGTTAAAAAAGTCAAGAATAAAAACACCTTGTGCATTGTCATGCTGCAATCAAATGTTAGTCAAACCTGTTTCGATTTTTTAATCTTAAAATTTTGCTTGAGCTTTTGGAAAAAAATGGTATTTTTACTGCTTTTCCTTTGGACACAAAAAACCTCATTGTCGGTGTCGTAAAATGTGAAGAATATTACAATTCTTTCTTGAAACCTTAACATACATTTCACTTTGAAATTAATAATCTTTTGTCGCACTTTGTTGCCTATATTCTGTTTTAAATCGAGTGTTGGAACTCTAAAGAGTTACCAATATTTTTCACTAGTGGCATATTTTGCGAAAAATCATGCATAATATTGTAATTTGGAATCTATTTTTGCAGTATTTTCAAATTACTTATATAGAAGCCATAATAATTGTATGATTCTTTAACTCTAGAAACTATTTACGGGTGAATTTTCTAGAAACAATGAATAACAAAACGGTATACACACTCAATGGAAAATAATAAAGACATATCATTATATACTAGTACCTTTATAATTATGAGAAGTAATATGTTAAAAATGAACATTTATTTGACATTGTCGACTTTATTTTACAGTAGAGTACGGGAAATACACAGATTATCTAAAAGAATGGGAAAAAGAAATACAAAATGGCGTTGGATATCCTCTTCATATCATGTTTTACGAGGACATGAAAATCGTATGTTTACATTTCATTAAAATAAAAGTTTTAGAATAAGACACGGACGTGTAAGAGGAATAAGAAGCTACATGGGAAAATATACACAGTGAAATATGCGTTATATCATTTACAGTCGTATTATGTGAATCATTCATCGGCCAAAAAATTCCTTTGTATGGAATGAAAATACACGATAGAAACTACAGACTATGTTAAAATATACAGTCAAACTTGCATGCGACCACGTGTATTAAGCGTCTTTTGTCTTATGCAACCACTGTATATATATTTATATATATGAGCCTCGTCATGACAAAACCAACATAATGGGTTTGCGACCAGCATGGATCCAGACCAGTATCTGCGTATCTGCGCAGTCTGATCAGGATCCATACTGTTCGCTATCAGTTTATTTACTTGTTATAGGGTCTGTAAGCGAACAGCATGGATCCTAATTAGGCTGTGGGGATGCGCAGGCTTTTGTTGTAAACGCAGTATGTTGGTTTTGTCGTGACGCGGTTCATATATTATAGATAGAGAGCATAAATAGCAGCCCCAAAACTAGCGTTACTGTTACTCAAGTAAATCAAAAGTATGTTGGTTTTTAAAACTGGCTGAATGTATGCACAGGATAGAGGAATGAAAGAAAATGATTGAAAATATGATTGACAGCTTTTCAATCCATAACAATTCTTTACGACAAATTCAAGTTCTTATTAATATGCTAATTTTTGCCAGCAAAGTAATTCATGGGGTCACACCACAGGAAATAACTAAAAACGGACGTCAAATGAGATAATTTATGGTATTCTGTTAATATTGACGTTTTAGTATCTTATAAGATACCGTCAAGTTTTGATTACCCTCAAGAGTTATTTCCCTTGCTACAATAAATTTATTTGAATATATTCATATTAGATATATTCATCTTAAAATACTAATGAGCCGTGCAGGCGAACTTAAATAATCTTTAAAATAATGAAGAATAATTTGCATTTTTCATATTTTCATATTTATATCCGGTTCAGGGTACTATTTTAGGTATATTTCCTTATTTTTGTTTGTTTATATTTGTATATTGAATATTTATATATGTACATACAGAACGGTACTGAAGAAATTGAAAAGCTTTTGAAATTTCTTGGTGTTGAAATAGACGCAAACTTAAAGAATAATATTTTACAACAGTGCGACTTTGATAGTATGGTGGAAAGGAAGAAAATCCCTCCTGGAGCAATAGAAATGTTTATGAAGTCAGATTTCAGATTGTTTAGGAAAGGTTTGATTCAAATTTGATTATTCATAGATTTGATTTTCTTTTTTTTCTTGAATGGCATCTGTTGATAACGGCAGCGTCCCGGTGCCAATTTAACATGTTCTATAAAAAAGATAACTCCTACGTAGGATATAAAAAAACCTAATTAGGAGTTTATATCTCCTTGGTAGGACTTTTAAACTCCTACGTAGGACTTTTACACTCCTTCGTAGGACTTTATAACTCCTACGTAGGACTTTGTATGTCATACGTAGGACTTAAAAACTCCTACGTAGGAGATAAAAAAGCCTTATTAGGAGTTAATAACTCCTACGTAGGACTTTATAACTCTTACATAGGACTTTAAAACTCCTAATTAGGTTTTTTATCTCCTACGTAGGAGTTATTAAGTCCTACGTAGGAGTTATAAAGTCCTACGTAGGAGTTATCTTTTTTTTATAGAACATGTTAAATTGGCACCAGGACGCTTCCGTATATATAGTTGATGATAAGGTAATCTACTTATCATGTTTTTTTTTTATATTTTCTAGTACTTTTAACAATAACTTCGAAAATTCCATCTGAATATAATTTTTCCTTAAAATATTGCTCTTGTTATTTGTTAATTAAGATTAACTTTAATCAAGATAATTGAATAATTATAAACTCACCATCGTTGAAGGCTTGATTTCTTTTTCTAAACATGTGCTTTTTATAATATAATGACTAATAAACTGAATAAAAACAACTATCACTATCATTGTCCAACAATATTGTCTTCTGGTTCGATTCCTACCCAACACTATGTTATGTAGATACACTTTTTTATTTACCTGCAAAAAAATTTTTTAAATCGGTTTATTACATCCGGTTTTAGGATACATTCATTGAAGTAGTTTTTTTAAACTGTATTTTATGCTCCCCGAAGGGTGAGCATATAGTCGCCGTTTTGTCCGTCTGTTCGTCCGTCCGTCCGCTTTACTTGTCCGGGACATGACTCTGGAACAAAAAGAGATATCAAAAAATGAAATTTTGAAGATAGGATAGATCTCATTGGGTCAATGAACAGTGCATAAAAACCGTTACTCTGTCTTGTCTTATTTTTGAGTTGTTGCCTTTTTTAATTAATACTTTTAACTTTGCCCGGGACATAACTCTAAAAGTATAAGAGATATCAACATGAAACCCTGCAGGTAGATATATCTCATTGAGTAGAAGTGCGGTGTAAAAAAAAACATAACTCTGTCTTGCCTACTTTTAGTGTTATTGCCCTTTGTTCATTTTTACATTTGAACTTTGTCCGGTACATAACTCTTAAGACTTTCAACATGACACTTTGTAGGTAGATACATCTTATTAAATAGAACAGTAACTCTACCTCGCTTAATTTTGAAATTATTGCCCTTTGTTCATTTTTACGCTTTGAACATTTTCCAGGGCATAGTTCTGAAAGTATAATAGATAAAAACAAGACACTTTATAAGTAGACAGATCTCATTGAGTAGATGTGCAATGCAAAAGAACCATAACTCTGCCATGCCTTATTATGGAGTTAATGCCCTTGTTCATTTTTACATTTTGAACTTTGTCCAAAATCTGTTCGGGAGCATCACCAGGTTGAACCGGCTCTCTTTATTGTTACATTATCTTTAATAAAAGTACAGTGTGTGTATAATACAAATCAATGAATCGACTAGCCGAGTTAACTACAAGTGTAGTTAATACTAGACATACCGGTGGTTTTAAGAGAATGGCAATTTTAAGGGTAAAATAAAAAGAAGAAATAAAAGTGGCTGAACCAAGATTCGAACATCCGAGGATACGTCTATATTTTTGAAATGAAAAAAAAAAGACCTTAGTTCATACAATTTTCATACAATAAATAGTTCTTACGTTAGTTTGTCATTTTTGCAGGGCAAGTTGGTGACTGGAAGAACTGGTTTACAGTCGCCCAGAATGAAATGTTTGATGAGATATGGGAGAAAGAGATGGGTGGATCATGTTTTTCAAAGTTTATATACACTGATCCAAGATGTTAAGAAATGCAAATATATTATAAAATTGTACAGATGCACGATAGTGTGTACTACATAATTGTATATTTTCTTATATCATAGTTTGGACACCTTTTCATTAAAGATGTGTTGAAAAAAATCACCTATATATGCATATTGCGTTAAAGAGATTCCCTTTAAAGTTTTTTTACATGAATGAACAAAAAAAACAACTGTTGGAGTTTAATATTTCATTTCATGTACGTGTGGACCTATAACTTGTGTACCAAATTTCAGATGTTTCCCTCACTCCATTTTAAAAGAATGGGTAGTTATTGTGAAAAACGACCCGAAATTGAACATCGGGCCCGAAATTGAACATCAGGCTCGAAATTGAACATCGGGCTCGAAATTGAACATCGGGCTCGAAATTGAACATCGGGCTCGTAATTAAACATCGGGCCCGAAATTGAACATCGGGCTCGAAATTGAACATCGGGCTCGAAATTGAACATCAAGCTCGAAATTGAACATAGGGCTCGAAATTGAACATCGTGCTTAGAATAGCACACCAATACGATTTTTATACTTATTTCTGATGTCATTTGTACATATTTCTATCTCAAGGCATTAGTTGAACTATCCAAGTATTCTTGTTTCAAACTGGAGACACAGCAAAAGTTAGGTAATGGAGAGTCTTCACAATAGCAATTTATTCCATATGTAAAATTACTAGGCTATTTTCTATATGTGCGTGCGTGCGTGCGCGCGTGCGCGTGTGTGTGTGGTTGTATTAAGTTAAAAAATTAGGTTGATATAACATAAACTAATACAGGAAAGACACGAAAGTCTTCAATATAATAAGCAATATCCTGTAGGTCTCTTATAGAGACATGTTTAGAAATAATCAAAAATAAATAAACAAAGCAATAATAATAATTTTCGTCAAATGTTCGTATAATTAATTCATTTGATTGGAACCATAATTAAAGTTACGAAAATATCACATAGTAAAAATGTTTTAAAAGTTTTCTCAAAAAGCAGAATGCATAGGTTATAAGCATGTAGCATCATCTTGGGTCTTTGACATATTGAATCTTGCTCATAGGGTCACTTGGAACTAAATACATATTTATTTTCAAAAGTTTTTATATGAGAATATCCAAATTATATGTCACAAATGTTTTTATTTAAAAGTATGTATCGTGCAGAATGAATAAAAATATTTTGTTAAATGTCAGATTTTTCATGTTTGCCGATAGAAATTATAGATAGCAACATGGACCGCTTGTGTAAGGAACTTATCCGGATCCAAAGATTAAATACTGACTATGATTCCACATGGCATTAATAACGAGGTATTTATTAATAAATGCGTTACATAAATATTAAAAGGTTTATCCATTATCTTCTTTTTATCGCCATTGTCAATTAGACATCTATATTACTATATTGTAAATCCATTTTTTATTCATGTACCAGTTTTATTTAAAACATAAATATTTGAGCCGCGTCACGACAAAACCAACATAATGGGTTTGCGACCAGCGTGAATCCAGACCAGCCTGTGCATCCGCTGTTCATGATGTTCGCTACTTGGAATAGGGTTTGTAAGCGAACAGCATGGATCTTGATCAGACTGCGCCGATGCGCAGGCTGGTCATGATCCATGCTGATCGCAAACGCACTATGTTGGTTTTGTCATGACGCGGATCATGCTCTGCCCGAAACGTCTGTAAGAATGTTTGTGTTTATATGGCTTGTTTGTATATGATTTATTAGTCCCCTACCGGTTTACCGGAGGGGACTTTAGGTTTACCCTCCGTCCGTCTGTCCGTCTGTCTGTCCGCCCGTCAGTCCGTCCGTCTGTGCGTCCGTCAGTCCGTCCGTCCACAAAACTGGATCCCGCGATATCGCAAAAAGTACTGAAAATATTTTAATGAAACTTGATATATGGATGGATGGCAGTATGGAGATTATGCACGTCTTTTTCTTTTCTTCCCATGTTTAAAATTCTGGTTGCTATGGCAACAAATAGACTGAAAATATGGCATATTTTACACATAACCTGGATCCCGCGATAACGCAAAAAGTACTGAAAATATTTTTATGAAACATGACATATTGGTAGATGGCAGTATGGAAATTATGCATACTCTTTTCTTATCTTCCTGTATTGAAAATTCTGGTTGCTATGGCAACAAATTGACTTAATATCAAGATTTCTGATTCTAGTTTTTAAGTTTTTTCACTATAAGTTCTTTATTTCTTAAGGTAATTTTTCAAACTGTAAATATAAGTTGCTAGTCATCAACCATATCATATGTGACAAAGTTTACAACTCTAACACAAAATTTATCAGAATTACCTCCCTTGAACTTAAAATTTTCATGAAAAAAACATTGTTTTTTTTAATAACTTCTTTTCTTTTGATGGTATCTACTTCATATAAATGTTTCTTATTATCACTCAACATTTGTGAGTGTTCAATACTCTAGCAAGACTATTTCCAGAATTATGCCCCTTTTGAACTTACTCCAACTTCTTCAATCATGATAGGATTTTCTTCAAACTCCCACATCATAATAATATGACAAGGTTTATAAATCTAGCATCCATATTTCCAGAATTATGTCCTCCTTGAACTTTTAATTTTTCCTATTCGTTCTTTTAACTTTCATTTATTTCAAATTCAAAATAAACATTCAATATTCATACCTTCATTACTAATTGTTCTTTGTTACACTCACTTCATGTATGACATTGTTATCTCCTTTTTTTTAAATTTTGCTTTTAAAAATGTTATATTTTGATAACAGGGATGTTTAAAAAATAACTTTAGAGTGTCCTTCAGTCTGTCTGTCTGTCTGTCTGTCTGTACATAAAAACTGTTCACTGTGATCACTTTTAAAGAACTTTTTCAATAATTTTACTTAAAATAGAAACATAAGTGAATGGCCCTTCAGAATGTTGCGTTGGCTCTTACCAGTAGGAGACTTATGGATTGCTTGCAATAGTATGATAAATGCTTGTTGATATTTGAAATATTCATTCATTGATAAACTTTAAGAGCAAATGCCGTATCCATAAAATCTTACCGAAAGGTTAAACCCCTGCATAACATGTAACCAAGTGCTATTGTTGTTTTCAAGAAAGAAAACTCTGTCGGCCTTGTTTGAATTTACGCAATTATGTACATATGTCCCTTTGACCAAATTTGCTATCTGTTCATCATCACTTGAGGTCATTCTTTGTGTTGGTCATATTGACATGTATACTTAGAAATTATTATTGAAATATTAAGGTTATTGGTATGTTTTATTTATTTGTTCTTAAAAACTCTTATGTGAATTAAATGAAGACTTATTTTAATTAATACCGTTGTGTATTTGATCAAAGAAATTTTAATAAATTAGTAATATTCTTGAGTGTTAGAATTCAGGATGGCAGCATACTTCCTTCTCTTACAGTTATTTCTAGATCAATGTTTCTATTTGTTATGCACTGATGTTTTTGTAATTTACAGTAATTGCAGTACAGCTAGCTAATATCACAGTGTGAGTGACATAGGTATAGTTTAAATAGTCTGTTGCTATATTGTCATTTTTTATATATTTTTGGAGCTACATATGAATATTTTTAAGCTGAGCATATATTGTAAATTGTTTTATAAGTAAATGATTAAGAGGTCACTAGATGCAGGTACAATATTATGTAATACATTTAAAAGATGTTTTTATGTGTGCATGATTTATTAGCTGAGATATAATGCATGGATTACTCCTATAGACTGATCTGTTGATAGAATACATTGATGATATTAAAGGGTGTGTATAAAACTATATATGGAATGTTGAATATTTATTATTTTCAGGGGTTGTATGTATGATTTATGTACTGTGTATCCGGGAAGATCAATTTGCTTTGAAAATTTATAACTATAAGTCATGTGGAAGCTTTTTTTTTTAGATTTTTGTCTTAACAATAATCCATATGTAGCTTTATATCCAGAATTTTGTCTTTGTTGGTTGGGAAAATAAACGGTTAGTGGAGACAGCTTACAAATACTCCCTCTAGCCTCTTTAAAGATCCTGTACGTTTTGTGATTGATATTGTTACTGTGTGTAAACATCGAATGACATTGTTACTGTGTGTAAACATCGAGGAATATGTAAAAATCTGTACTGCAAACATTTGTGAACATTATATTTAATCAATAAATATATGCATTTATTTCTTATTGGAAAATTTGACTTAGAATTTATAGAAAATAAATTTCTAATAACCTCTCTTTATTTACATGAAATGTTAAATTAAATAATGCATATTGGAACTTACAATATTGACAAATCTTAATTTGAGCATCATATTTATGAAATAAAACCATGAAAAAATGTGTTACATGATCTTTTAACACTGTGTTGTGTTGTTTATTATTTCAAAGGTGTAAAGAATGTAATGATTTATGCTCGTTTGAGTGTAACGATACGACCAATTAATGTAAACGTTATCGTGTTTGACCTACATGTAATTGACAGGCGGATAGATACACCACCCGAGGACTTATGTCCGTGAAGTACGCGGGCTAACGGGCTAGCAGTCTAGCGGGCTAACAGTATGAACTGAGCGGGCTAGCAGTCTAGCGGGCTAACAGTGTGAACTGGGCGGGCTAGCAGCCTAGCGGGCTAACAGTGTGAACTGGGCGGGCTAGCAGTGTAGCGGGCTAGCAGTGTGAACTGGGCGGGCTGGCGGGCCAGCGGGCTAAAATCTAAAACTTTATTGATTGAACATAAAAATGTTATGATACATTACCTGGCAGTGTGAAGTGGGCGGGCTAACAGTGTAGCGGGCTAGCAGTGTGAACTGGGCGGGCTGGCGGGCCAGCGGGCTAAAATCTAAAACTTTATTGATTGAACATAAAAAACGTTATGATACATTACCTTGCAGTGTGAAGTGGGCGGGCTAGCAGTGTAGCGGGCTAGCAGTGTGAACTGGGCGGGCTGGCGGGCCAGCGGGCTAAAATCTAAAACTTTATTGATTGAACATAAAAACGTTATGATACATTACCTGGCAGTGTGAAGTGGGCGGGCTAGCAGTGTAGCGGGCTAGCAGTGTGAACTGGGCGGGCTGGCGGGCCAGCGGGCAAAAATCTAAAACTTTATTGATTGAACATAAAAATGTAATGATACATTACCTGGCAGTGTGAAATGGGCGGGCTAGCAGTGTAGCGGGCTAGCAGTGTGAACTGGGCGGGGCTGGCGGGCCAGCGGGCTAAAATCTAAAACTTTATTGATTGAACATAAAAATGTAATGATACATTACCTGGCAGTGTGAAATGGGCGGGCTAGCAGTGTAGCGGGCTAGCAGTGTGAACTGGGCGGGCTGGCGGGCCAGCGGGCTAAAATCTAAAACTTTATTGATTGAACATAAAAATGTTATGATACATTACCTGGCAGTGTGAAATGGGCGGGCTAGCAGTGTAGCGGGCTAGCAGTGTGAACTGGGCGGGCTGGCGGGCCAGCGGGCTAAAATCTAAAAACTTTATTGATTGAACATAAAAATGTTATGATACATTACCTGGCAGTGTGAAATGGGCGGGCTAGCAGTGTAGCGGGCTAGCAGTGTGAACTGGGCGGGCTGGCGGGCCAGCGGGCTAAAATCTAAAACTTTATTGATTCAACATAAAAATGTAATGATACATTACCTGGCAGTGTGAAATGGGCGGGCTAGCAGTGTAGCGGGATAGCAGTGTGAACTGGGCGGGCTGGCGGGCCAGCG